TAGATTTTGGGTACTAACCCTTTATCTGATATATCATTTGCAAATATCTTCTCCCATTCTGTCAGTTGCCTCTTAGTTTTGCTGATTGTTTCCTTTGCTGTGCAGAAGCTTTTTATTTTGATGAGGTCCCAGTAGTTAATTTTTGCTTTTGTTTCCCTTCCCTCCGGAGACGTGTTGAGTTAAAAGAAGTTGCTGTGGCCAAGATCAAAGAGGTTTTTGCCTGCTTTCTTCTCGAGGATTTTGATGGCTTCCTGTCTTACATTTAGGTCTTTCATCCATTTTGAGTTTTCTTTTTTTTAATTTGTTTTTTTAATGTTTATTTTTGAGAGGGAGAGAGAAACAGTGCGTGAACAGGAGAGGGGCAGAGAAAGAGGGAGACACAGAATCTGAAGCCCGCTCCAGGGTCTGAGCTGTCAGCACAAAGCCTGATGTGGGACTCAAACCCGTAAACCGTGAGACCATGACCCGAGCCGAAGTTGGATGCCTAACCGACTGAGCCACACAGGCGCCCCTTTTTTTGAGTTTATTTTTGTGTATGGTGTAAGAAAGTGGTCGAGGTTCATTCTTCTGCATGTCGCTGTCCAGTTTTCCCAGCACCACTTGCTGAAGAGACTGTCTTTATTCCATTGGATATTCTTTCCTGCTTTGTCAAAGATCAGTTGGCCATACATTTGTGGGTCCATTTCTGCGTTCTCTGTTCTGTTCCATTGATCTGAGTGTCTGTTCTTGTGCCAGTACCATACTGTCTTGATGATTACAGCCTTGTAGTATAGCTTGAAGTCTGGGATTGTGATGCCTCATACTTTCTTTTCTTTTTCAAGATTGCTTTGGTCATTTGGGGTCTTTTCTGGTTCCACACAAATTTTAGGATTATTTGTTCTAGCTCTGTGAAGAATGCTGGTGTTATTTTGATAGGGAGAGCCATAGTATTATTATATAACCTCTAGTCAAAGACTATCTCAACATGGCTCTGATATTAGACCAAGTCCTTTACATTTTTATGTCTTTTATCTCACAATTTATAAAAGATACCATTTTAAGAAAAGAACTAAAAAAACTGTCCTTCAGTTTTTTGGGGTGTGTGCAAAAGAAAGTGATTATGATAATGAAAATCATAACCTCTTATTAGAGATGGTATGATGACTTGTGGTTTGTGAGTTTGAGCCCTGTGTCAGGCTCTGTGCTGACAGCTCAGAGCCTGGAGCCTGCTTTGGATTTTGTCTTCTTCTCTCTTTGCCCCTCCCCTGCTCATTCTGTCTCTCTCTCTCTCTCTCTTTCTCTCAAAAATAAACATTTAGGGATGCCTGGGTGGCTCAGTTGGTTGAGTGTCCGACTTTGACTCAGGTCATGATCTCACAGTTCATGAGTTCGAGCACTGCATCGGGCTTTGTGCTGACAGCTCAGACCCTGGAGCCTGCTTCAGATTCTGTGTCTCCCTCTCTCTCTGTCCCTCCCCCGCTCGCACTGTCTTTCTGTCTAAAATAAATAAACATTTGAAGAAAAAAACAAACATTTAAAAAATGTTAAAAAAAAAAAAAGATGGTATGAGATCCATCTCACATCAAGAACTTTGAAGGAACTATAGGTGGTTAGCCTGGAGAAGAGAGGACTCATTAATAGGGAATAATGCAGCTGTAATCAGCTTGACCCAGCAGTTGGCCCTGGCCACTGATCTGTGTTTATTTGTTGACTGTGTCTAATACAAAATGGGTCACTTTTGTAGTTGGTAGGGCATACTGTATTGATCACTCTGGTGAAAGAGTCAGGTGATGAACTAATCTTCATCTCAAACCTAAGATTCAGTCAGGGCCACTTTCTGCCTTGGATCAGCTTTGGTCCAGGTGGTTAGGCTGGATTTTAGTCTAATTTAGTTAGGAACAACATTTGGATCATGGATTGCAAGACACCAGGACCAGCTGCGCCAGAGATTTCAGCAAGGAAAAACCTGAGGGCATAGTAATGAAGAACATTCAGAAGAAGTCCATGGTCAGAGCCAGGGCAGACATGTTGTGGGTATCAGGCCATAAGAGAACAACAGGAGTCAAGGCCCCTCTGATCTGTGATCAAGAGTAGCCTTATGCTAGAACCATTATCATAAGAATAGTTATGATAGAATATCTTCTACGCTGCCACTTTGGACCTGAAAAGTATCTTTTCAATGTGGCTAGATACTCCAAGGATGGTCAAGATATAAAACCATTTTAATGAGTGGCAGAGTGTATAACTGCAGTCTATATCCTTCAAGATGGGTAATGTACAAGCATAGGAAAGAATAGAATTAGAATAGACTTATTCAAAATTACTTCAGATTGGAAAAGTTGGGTGGAAGTCACAAAGAAACAGTTTGACTCAGGACGCTTGGGTGCTTCAGTTAGTTGAGTATCCAACTCTTGATTTCAGCTCAGATCATGATCCCAGGGTCGTAGGATCGAGCCCTGCTTGGGACTCCGTGCTGAGTGTGGAGCCTGCTTGAGATTCTGTCTCTCTTTCTGCCCCTCTCCTATGCTTGCACCCTCTCTCTTTTTCTCTCAAATAAAATTTTTTAAAAAGTTTGGGGCCCCTGGGTGGCTCAATCAGCTAAGAGTATGACTTCAGCTCAGGTCATGATCTTGTGGTTTGTGGGTTCAAGCCCCGCATTGGGCTCTGGGCTGGGCTGACAGCTCAGAGCCTGGAGCCTGCTTCGGATTCTGTGTCTCCCTTTTTCTCTCCC